CTCAGTTTCTAATGTCTGAGAACTTTGTTAGGAGTGTCACTCTCTGAAAGTCTGCATTAGGTGCAGGGCTGCTGTAAACAAAAACAGGAGTTAAATTCAAAAAGTTCTACCAAACTAACCCAAAATTTTAAGAAAGGGAGCCCTGGGGTGTCTTTAAACCTACACCAGTGTATCAAAACCTGTCAACAGCTTGACTCCAGAGACCAGACTCTGAAATGCTGCCTATTGCCACTCCTGCAAGAGCTACAAAATACAGCACTGTTGTTTCTTTTGAGGAGACAGTGCTGCTTCTCAGACTTATCACTGCATAAGGCTGAAACAGTTAGCAAAGATCATGTCAATGCCATCTAGGTGACAGGGATGTTGTAAAAGGAGAAGCTTTCCCATCTCTGTCCTAAGGACTCTGACTGCTCAAACTCTTCAAAGGAGGCAGGTACCACCTACCAAACTTCACACTCAGCGCCCATAGGCTCCTTTGAAAAACATCAGTCAGAAGTGGGAAAGAAAAACCCTCTCACTTTCAGCAGAGTTTCAGAGTTATCAATGATTATCATCATCTCCCTTCCTTGTGGCTCATGCCAGGTTAAGCCTAAGGTCCTAGGGACCTCCTCTCACCAGCCTGGGCAGGGAAGCAGCATGCTGGAGAAGGCAGCTCTCTCCTGCACGTGGGCCACAGAGGCCTTTGTGTGCCCTGCCTGGGAGCCTGGCTGAAATTACCTCAGGGGATCTAAACATGCTTACACACCTAGGATCTTTTTGGACATGTAACCTTCTCACAAACAGAATCTAGAGAAATTTTGAGGTCAATGTAAATCAGAGAAAAACTAAGCTCACTAAACACTGCAGTGACAGTTTACAACTTGAACTACTTCACATGTGCTACTGCACCACTGCCCCCAAACTCATTTATATTAACTGTTTTTCCTTTTTTCCGTCCCTTTTTCACTCCCACATCCTGGCTTACCTTGTGAATTTTTGGATATCAACACTGGAATTGGGTCAAACTCATCTTCTGTCACTTTTTCAGAGCCCTCAGGAGCATCAAAGCCTGATATCAGGTTAGTATCTTCTGCAGCACAATGGAGAAACAGAGGTAAAGAAGCAAAGATAGCAGAGAAGCTGGTTAGAATTGCTAAAAGTGTTAGACCATCTTTATGTTTTCAGAGACAAGGTTTAGAAGCAGGAGTTGCATTTAAAAGGCGAAATAAAAGTTGGTTAAGCCTTTGGTAAAGAAGGTAAGTAGTAAGAGAGACAATTACAAAAACAGAGAGGAAAAAAAATCAAAACAAAAAGCAAGCCAAGTGATGAGAAACAAAATAAAACCTGGCCAATTCCAAGGCTGAGCAATCAGCATAGTTAAGCTGTGGGAGCAGCCTGGGGCTCAAGCTTCCAAGGCCTGAGAGTATTTATTGTTTGTCAACACTCAGTGGCTGTCAGGTATTAGCACAGTCTGAGAGCTGGGAGGAGAACAAAAACAAAAGAAACAGAAGAAATTCCAGTTATCTACACGAGGGAATCTCCCTGAGCTTTCACCTACAGTGATAAGGCAAGAAGTGCAACATGAAGTCAGCTTTCCAAGAAATTCAAATCCTGAAGATAACACCAGATACCAACAGATTTTTTAAAGGCTCCTCGAGCAGTTCTGGGATGTAATTCCACTGACTCCAAACCATGTCAGCTGCAGCTAGACACTTGGTGGGAGGCACTTTCAACAAGCTCCACAGGGGATGAGACATTCATCTGCCTCATCAGGCAATTACATCTCTCTAGGGACTTTTTTCACACTCTCACTGTGCACCAGTGCTTGTTACTTCAGACACATAAAGCACCTTCCAAAAGGTGGTCAGTGACTGCACCAAGAATTTCTGAACGCCTAGAAGGACAAGTACAAGCCGATGGTTTCCAAGGAACAGGAACATTCCTGGTCGACTCCTACCACAAATAAAAGCTCTTTACCTAAAGCTGAGAAGTGTGCTAACAGGCTTTAAGTGAGATGATGCAAGAAACCACTTGTGGAAATACACTGTCCTCTGGAGGATCAGACCCAGCAAAAAATCCCACAAATTTTATAGGTTTAAGGTGTCAAAACAAAAACCATTTCACCTTAAAGTCTCATTTTGCCTTCGCTCTGTCCCTGGAGTTATTTATTTGTGGCTCTTTCCACTCTCCCAGGCACCTTTGCAAGCATCCTGTTTCCATTTCACTTTCCTTACAGACACAACTGCTCAGAGCTCTGGAGTCTGATATAGGAGAAGCTGCTGAAGGAGCACTGCTCCATTAGGGCCTACCTTCCTTAAGGAGAGGGAAAAGCTGGTAGTGTCCCTGTTAGGACAAAGCTCCTCCAGAAGCATTTGCACTTGCCTCAGTGGCTATATAGCACTGCAAGCAGGAAAAATTCCCCCTGCTCATACTCAGCTTTGTGCTGTATTCAGCCACTGTGAATGAAGGAATCCTGAAGGACGAGCGAAAATTCAGAGGCCAGAAAACAGCCTAGGAAAGGACAAAGGAAAGGACACTGGTGTGGTCGGAGGGTTTGAAAAGAAGCCACAAATGAACTTTGGAAGATTTTCATATTCCACTCCCTATTCAGCCCCACTACCAGAAGTCTCCTTCCCTCTGTCAGAGCTGAGCCTCCCTCGTGGCAGAGGGAGCAGCAGGGCAGCCTGGGGAAGGAGTGCAGAACCCTGGTAATTCACCACCTCATTAAGTCACACCAACAAGGTTTTGGCTTTGCCCTGTTCCAGATGTGGAGCAGTAACTGCTCAACATGTATTTCAATCCATTCACCCAAAATAAAGTGGGATGCAAGTGGCTTACAGCTATGGGCAATGAGAACCAGTGCTTGTTTAAACCAAAAGGCTCTATGAAAAACACAAACTCATTCTGAAGTGCCATCAGGTATAAAAATTGATTACAGACTGTTTTTACAGCTATTCCTCAGAGGACAGATCATTTTCTGTTGCTATAGGGACACTTCTCTAAGACCCAAGCAAAACCCATCATCAAGGGGCACCCAGGAGTCTGTGTCTGTGCCTCAGGCCCCTCTTTTCAAGACAATAAATAGCACAGAAGTCGTGGTCTTCCCTCCCACCTGGCTGGGGGTGTACTGCCCAGTATTCATTTGCGAGGAACAATTTCTTCCCCTTGAAGGTCACCCAGGGCGGTGCCAGGCTGCCCAGGGCAGTGGTGGAGTCCCCACCCCTGGAGGGGTTTCCAAGCTGTGGAGATGTGGGGTGAGGGACACGGGGCAGTGGGGACCTGGCTGTGCTGGGGAATGGTTGGACTTGATCTTAAAAGGTCTCTTCCAAGCAGAATAATTCTTTGATTCTATGATCTGCACTGTCCCCAGGGGGGACACACCCCACCCACAACTGCTCTAGCCCACAGCAGGGATGGGCCAGGGCAGGAGGAGTGCACCATGCAGGCTGCACTTGAGCTGGGAGCTCTTCAAACTGCTCCAGTGGCACTGCTCCAGCTGCCCTGCACAGAGAGGGGCCACAGCTCAGCTGAATGCTCTGCAGCTGGGAGAAAACAGTCAGCTGAGTGAGGACCCAGCCTCCCAGGGTCCTCTGCTCTTGCTTGCCCATGGAAAGAGAACAGAACTCTAACCACTGCACACTATTTCCACAATTCCACTCTAGTTCAAGTATTGTAAGGGCTCATCTGCAGCTCTTTGGAATTACCACACATGGTCTGCTGCTCTTCAGATCTGCTTGTCTAACTATGGAGCTGTTCAATTTTTCAGTTGGATATTGCACTTAGACTTTCATCCATGTCTGCTGTGACATCACAGTTTGACTCAAGAACCTTCTCCTGATAACCTGTGAAAAACATTCTCTAGATCTGAAAGACCTCAGTCACATGCCTCAGGCATTAACTCTGGCAAACCAAACACCATCCCTTTCCTCTCCAAAACCTCAGACACCAGGACAGATTATTACCAGGCTCCCTTCCAGAATTAATAATGTGGCATAAAGCAGGTCTTGTAAGGCACGTGCAAGAAAGCAAAACCAGAGTGCATCCACTTACAAGCCTGAAGAAGGGGTGCACACAAAGGGGTGCACACAAACCCTGCCCTTTAAGCCTGCTGTCCCCCTTCTGCTGTATCCCTGTTTCAAGGAAGCTGCCACTTGTCTTGACAAACCAGGTCTTTACAGTCAAACTTAATATTTTTATCTTTATTTTTTTCCCCCTTAGCACTTCAATGTACATTCCAAGTTTCACCAGCTTGGGAGGAAAAAAACCAATGACTTGGGAAAAACAATAAAACAAACACAACAAAGGAATACCAAAAAAACCACATGAAAGAAAAAAAAAAATACAACCAGAAGAGAGCATCTGCTTGTGTAAGGTGGTATGAGCTTCACAAGAGCTATAGACCAGCTCCCAGGAGTGATGGGACCTTGGGGAGAAAGGGTCAGTTTACCTTTGTGAGGCTGAGCTGCAAAAGCTACAGGAGCAAACTCATCCAGGAGGTCAGCAGCAGGGTTGGAAAGCAGAGAACAGTCAAGCAGCGAGTCCTCCCCAGTGAGAGAGTCTGAATCCAGGTTGGTGCCCACGGCCAGCAGGTAGCATTGGACAGGACACACACTGTTAGGCTCACACCCACACTCCTGTGCCCCTGCACAGCCAGAGCCCCGACAGAGCCAGCAGTCACCTGTGCACGGGGCAGAACGTTCCTCCTGGCTCTGCAGGAAGGGCAGAGGGATCCCCAACACCTCCAGAGACAGAAAACATTCCCTGGGGCTAACTGCCCTCTGACACTGAGTACACAACAACAAAATCCCACAGACTAGCAGGTCAGAGCAGAGGCAGTGAAGGGGAGTGTGAGGAGGAACAGGCAGCTGGAAGGAGACTCTGGCAAAGCCAAGGGCACTGGCTGTTCCAGCAGCGACCTCTGAAGAGCTGTTGAGCCCATCTGCTGCAGAAGTGGCCAGACCAAGGCCCTCAGAGCACGAAAGGGACACAAGTTCCCACTCCAGTGCAGCAGGCACACAAGTGACTGCTCCAGATTTCAGAAGCACTCCACGGGAGCGCTGCTCTGGCACCCACAGCTCCGTGGGCTGGGCTGGAGGGAAATGCACCAGGAGACGGCTCACACCAGCCACGCAGCACCCACACGAGCAAGCCCCGCTCCCAGGGGTGCTCCTGTCCCAGCAGACAGTGCCTTCAGACTCACCCAGCCCCCACCAGGACGTGTCCCCACCCCAGCACCCTCCTGCCTCACCAACCTGTTCTGTTGGAGGCGACTGACTCGGGCTGGGACACGAGGCGCTGGGGCAGCGGCGCCTCCAGACCTGGTATGAGACTCTCAACAGCTACGTCAGGTTTTCCTTTCCAGTGTGCAAAACAGAGCAGAGAAGAAGCCAGAGGTTAGTTTGTGAGACACAGGAGGAGCAGGAACTGCTGCAGCAGCTGTCTGAATCTTTTAGGGACCTTTCAATGCATTGCAGCCACGCTGGCAGCCAGAGCCTGAATTAGACCAGTGTTAATTTAATCACAGGAGACCATCACACATCAGTGTTCCCTGGGTGTGAGTTTTTCTGAATTTTATTCATCTTAACTTGTGCAAGCCCAGTCTGGAACACACAGAGGGTGAGTGGGGAGGTTAACAATGCCTGCCCTGCAGCTAAGCACAAGGCTTGGGGCTGGGCAAACAACTACAAGCTTTTGCAAGATCCTTTCCTGCAAAAGGAAGACACAGACCTTTAAGGAGTCCCCTTGCATCAGAAGGAACAGATCATCAAAACACCTCCTGAGGAGCCCTGAGCATATTCCCAGATAAGCTTCTAAAAAGCCAAGAAGTGGAATCTCTTTTTTTTCCTCCCTCTGGTTGAGTGCCCAGTGGAGGAAAGACTGCAGACCCAACAGAGAGGTGATGGTTGTAGAATGCAATGTCTGCTTGAAAACCCCAGCATCACCTAATGCTGATGTCTGTTAGGTGGCTACAAAAGGAGACACTTACAAAGGCTGGACATAACCATCTGCTCCCTAACGTGGAGGGGGAGGGACAGGGAGTTAACTGTCTCAGCTCAAGGTAATGACCAAGAGGTTAAATTACAGAACAAAGATGTACTCAAATAACAGAACCATACATGGGCTAATTGGTCAATCTGAAAGTGATTAATGAGCATTTTTGTTCACACAGCAGTGTGTGCCCCATTCACAAGATCATTATCTAAGGAGTATTCAGCCAACTACCAAAAAGTGCAAAAGGCAGAAAGTCTTACTGTTCACTCCTTTCCTACCTTTCTACTCAAAGCAACAAGGTTGCACCCAACTAGCCAGGGACCCTGGCTGGGACCCAAAACCACAAAAGCAGCTGACTGCAAGTAACTGCAGGCAGCAACTATTGATCTTTAGTACATACAACTAAATAGGTAAAAACCTGATTCTGCAACACTCTGAAGTCCTTATGTTGCCTGGAGCCTGCTGCATCTGAGCATTTATTCTCAGCATATCACATTTATTCTCAGCATATGCCCCAGATCAACAGCAACTCTGTCCTCATCCTGCTGAGGGTCCATGGGCACAGTCAGGGTCACTGTCTGGCCCATGGTTACACACAGTCTGTAGCAGGAACAGCAGCATTTTGTTACACCTTTCAACAATTAACTTTCTTCTACCAAGAGCAGGACACCACACAAGGCACAGCCATGCCATGTTACTGGATGAAACCAGTAGGCCTAGGTTTACAAGGCCAAGCCTCTGCTGTTCCTGGGGACAAGGCTGACCTGGCTCAGCATAACCCACCCCTTCCATCACACTGTGTTTCAGCAGCATCAGCAGCTGCCCAGAGGCCCGGGGGGGGCAGACAGTCACCATGCAGGACAGGACATGCTGGGTGAGAGGGGAGGAGGCACTCTGGGTGCACTGTTACCATTCACAGCGTCTGAGGTGCTGCCGAAGGGGTCAGCAAGAGGCAGGATGTCAGGGAGCAGAAGCGCAGTCTCAGGAGATTTGAGTCCCTCAATCAGTTTTTCTGGGTTAAGCAGGAAAAGGAAGGAGGAAGGCAACAGAGAAAAAGGCAAAACAAAAAAAAAAAGAGGAAAGACAACATTAATCAGCTGCACAGTTCAGTGGCTCAGCCCAACGTGGCAGCACCTGCACAATTCTCTGGACAGACAATGCACTCAGAAGCACTGGGAGGCAGCTGCTCACCAGCAGACAGCTGGGGGCATCCTCACCACTGGGCACTGTGGGGCTCCCTCAGGAGTCTGAGGAACCATGCAGGTCTTCCACTCCTACCCAAGGCACGAAAGCTTAACATAACCCACTGAATATTAAAACCAAAACACACTCTGCAGTTTTTTCCCCTCCCTCCTTCCCATGCAGGGGAGGTCTATTGTTAGTCTTGGTATAATGAGAAGAAACAGAAGAGATGAGCAGAAGCTCATGGTGCTGGAACCAAGGTGTACAGCTCCGCTTGATGTGCTCAGTAATGGAATACTTGGAGCTCTTAAGAGCTTAATCAAACCCAGAAATTATTGAGACACCAGAACCTGCCCTTTGGTTAAACAGCTGTCCAGTTACCAATTAATTTTTTCAGTTATCAGGTTTCAGATCAGGCATGGCATTCTCAGCAGTACAGACCCAGTGGTTCCCATCAGCCTCCACACCAACTTAGACAGCCTGGGCAAAATGTTAATCTCAATTATCAGTCTGGGGGCTGAGTGATTTCACAATCATGCCAACCAAGCTTGTAATAATGAGCTTAACTACTGAGTGCTCCCAAGTGTTTCTTCACAGAGCAAGAAGATACAGAACACGTTCAGGGTTTGCTAGAAGTGACCACCATCAGTAGGTGAGCACTGATAAAGTCTGCCCCAGACAAACGAGACCATTTCAACTCGTTGGGATGACCACATATCAAATCAAACAGCAGAATGAGCTGTGGCCCTGCCACAGCTCCACCTGTACCACATTCTCACATCTGTATTTCACATTTTGGGTTCAAAGGCTATAGTGGTATTGTTCACTATCCAAAGTACCTGCACAAAAGCACAGGCTCTGCAATACTGCTGTACAAAAGACCACACTAAGAAAGCCAAAGGGAAGTTTAAGCTACTCTGTTACATACAGGGGAATACCCCCCATCTTTTTTTATTAGCCTATATAAGTACTGGAATAGCCCAGTGGCTTTGGCACGACTTATTCAGAGTAGGACAAATTCTTCCCAAGCAACCCAAGAGGCAGCTGTTACACCATTATTTATTAGCCTATATAAGTACTGGAATATCCCAGTGGCTTTGGCACGACTTATTCGGAGTAGGACAAATTCTTCCCAAGCAACACAAGGGGCAGCTGTTACACCATTGATGGCCTGAAGAAGGTCACTGAAAGGAAAACTCTGATGGGAACAGCAGCCTTGGATGTACCTGAAACCTTCCCACCTCTGTAGAGAACATCTGATCCAAAAGGCTGGGTTTGCTAAAGAAAACCCATCCCAGCTGCAGAGGTACCACCCTTGGCTTCTCAGCTGCACAGAGGGGAACTTTTTCTTTGGATCAATGGCGAGGCTGGGAGCAAGGACTTGGCAACACAAAGAGGTGTGGACACTATCAAAATGGGGCTAAGAAGGCTGGAACTGATCACAGCTTACTGAGCAGAGAACTCGACACAGGAGACTTGGGGACCAGGAGACAGGAGACATGCTCAGTGCCCCTGCCTGGCAGGGAGGCAGCAGGTATCCAGCCAGAGTACAGCTGCCTGAAACAGGACTTAAACCCCACCCAGACAGACAGCAAGGCACACGACAGCCATGGGAGAAATGATGGATTGTCTCAAAGTGAGGCAGTTTCACACTGGGTTTGGCTCCTGCTTGGAGATGAAGTTTGTAAGCTGTGAAGTGACACGTTTGTGAATGCATTCCCATCCCAGGGATTCAGGACCAAGACTTCCTTTCAAAGCAGGCTCTTACAGGAGGCCTGTCTGTCAGTGCCCAACTCTTCCCAAGACACCTGCACCTCCACACCCATACATACAGTGATCACTGCTTTCTTGATTCCAGCTCCAGCTGCCTGAGGCCTCTCCCTCCTCCAACCTTACACATTTCCAGTTTCCTCCTTTGCCATAGCTGCAGATTTTCCATTTAATACAGTGGAACTGCCTCTTGGTCAGGTACAGGTGAGTTGCCTATTGAGCTCATCCACACTTTTTAAACACAGAAATTATGAGAATAAACATGGTGCTTCCATGTGAATTTTCCCTCCTGCCCACAGGCTCAACTGGTTTCACACAAAGCTTTGGACTGTCAGTGTTTTTTTTTTCTTACTACTTGTCTCACAAGACCTCCTTCCTTGTGTCCTTCATCATTGGTGCTGCTCTACCAACACTGTCACGGGGCCACTGCACCTCCCACTGCATCACTGAAAGGAACTTTATTCCTTTTGAGTAAGGCTGAGAAATTCCACAAACACAGGGTGTCAAGACGAATGGGAAAGGAGATAACAAAAGTAATAAAAACTCAGATGCCTCAGTCTCTTGAGGCCTAGCAGCTCCTTGCCCTGGTTTGTGTTCATCTTGTACTAACCTGCAGGAACAAGATAAAGTAAAGGCCGGCAGAAAAAAGATAAAGTAAAGAAACGAGCAGCCACTTTAAGCAGTGGGACATTCACGTTCCACCAGGAGCAAAGGAAAAGTTACTGAAGGCCCAGCATAACCCATGGTTCTGCATCAGTCAGCAGGACAACCTCTCTGCCAGAGTTAGGGTTGTTCTTTTTAGCACAAGATGGTTATTAAATAAATGCACATGTGCTAGAGGAAGTTCTTCTGAATCCACATCAGACATTTAAGTCCAAGAACACCACATGCCTTTGGAAATAAGCCCAGCTCTGGAGACTGTTTCACCATAGCTGCAGTGACCAAGGCAGTGACTGCAGGAGTGTCTCCTGCACACTAGACTGTAGGCAGCTGCAGTTTAACTACACACAGACCTAGAAAGAAAAAAAAAAAAAAAACAGGCACTCTGAAATGTATTTTGTATTCTGCTACCCAGGGAATTCTCTAGCAGAAGTTTAATTTTAATTTCCAAGAGAAAAGCTGCTTCACCTGCACGTGAAGCCCCAGCTGAGATGGTAAGAGGCCAACGATGCCAAGTGGTTTGAATGAGTAGGAAATGCAGCAGTGCAGAGCTGGACAACTAGCCTCAGCTTTGTTACCTGTACAAACTCAGCAGTTCCAAGTCACACACACACACAAAGCAAACATCAGCTGTGGAACAGACTCTACCAGTAGTGCAACCAGTGTGTGCCTGCCACTAGCAGAGAGAGATGATGGCTGCAGGTTGCATACGGCCTCTCCAGAGCACTCCTCCCACAGCAGCTCCCCAGCAGCCACTGCCAGGATCTGCTGGAGGACAACAAAGAGGTTTTGCCACTGCAGCACCAGCTTCCCGTGACTCAGGGTATGCAGGCACACAATCAAAAGCTGTGTTTTAGGAGTGGTCATGATGGCAAAGAGGATCAGTTATGCAAACAGCAACAGAACAAGAAATAAATAGAAACTTCTTCCATGCTGCATGTTCAGGGCCTGCTGCAACTAATGTTGTGCAGGCACAGAGCAGGATAGGACAGAAGACATCCTGTATCACCCACCAGGCAGTTATATTCAGGATTTTATATATCAGAGGTCCTTCTGCCTCAACTCCAATAGATAGATCCAGATTATTCATATGCTGACATATGAACAAGTCTGAGGATAAGCAATGCTAAGAAAACGTAACCCAGTCCAGAGGTATTTTACATCAGACAGCTCCTGAGGCACTGTCAGGAAGGGCTTTTATCAAACTACACCTGGAAAACATGTGCTCCAGTCGATAACTGAGGCTCAGGAGGTTGCCTCTTAGAGGCATCCTGTTCCCCAGTCAGCCTACCAAAATCCTGTCAGGTGCTCTCTAGGACACATGGAAACGAAGCCTGATCCAGGTTCAGGACTGACCTGACCTTTGGCATTTCATTGGCTGTTGGGTTTTTGACTCTGCCCAATTTCAGTCCTGACAGGATGGCAGCAAGTTTGCTATGGCTTTGCAGCAGCTAGTGAAGGATGCTGGCAAAGTGAGCAAGGTTCATTAGCAAGTCTTAAGGAGGTCTCTAAGCCTAAAAGCATGCAGGGGGGGATTAGAAAGTGCACAGAACTAAAGCCCAGCCACATATTGTAGCCTGTAGATGCATGTTTCATATTCTGCCCATGTTTCCAGTCCCTCAGCATGAAATTACTGACTGTTTCCCATCCCACAGGAAGCAAAGCATGTTGCAGAAAAGGCAAAGCAAGAGCCTACAGCTAACAGCTATCTGAGCACCCCCAATGTCAGAGAGCTGGTAGCTTCAGAGACTGGAAAACCAGATCACTTCCTCCAGGCATGAGAGCAAGGGCCCTCCCTCTGATTTGCAACAACACAGGAAGGAAGTAATGCCATTCACCAACAGTAAAACCAACTACAGATTTCTATCATGGAAGAAGAAAGCCAGTTCAAACCCCATGCACAGGTTGAGCAGCACAGCTTTGGACCACCTAGTGAGAAAATTTTTACCTTTTCCCTCAGATCCCTTCCTAACACAAGCACAAGTCTGAGTTCTGAGCTGTACGATTAGTCAGGTTGCAGAGTGCAGCTGCAGCACCAGCCCTGCCAGACCCCCAGCTGGCATGCAGCACCTGAGAGGCTACTTGGGATATATCTACTAAGTGACAAAGTAGGTGCAGAAAGCTTTTTAAGTCTAGAGTTATGAAAAAATACAGACCAAGAGAAGAGGGAGGCAAACTAAAACCGTGGATTTTTAGTCAGAGCAGGGTATTAGAAAGAATAAAGATTCCTGAGAAATTTGCAAGTTAAAAAGGGAGGGCAAAAATCATACATTGGAAACACTCAGCAATCCAGGTGCAATATTCCAAAGCCCCAGGAGTCCAGCAGCCAGGCACTGCACACAGCAAGGACAGTACTCACTGTGTGCTGCGGGGGGAGAGCAAAAAGAAACAACTCAACAG